TTACTAGTGCATGGTGGAATGTTACAGAAGAATCCTAGAACTTGAAGCCCAGATTAGTGATGGCGCTGGTCCATTGTCACACAACTGTTTTTTAAGAGGTGTGGTTAGAACTTAGGTCTCCTGAGTATTTCTCTAGTCCTCATTGTACCACTGTATTATTCCATATGGTCTCATCATTTTTTCCCAGATGTCCATTTAAGGTAGAAATACTCAAGGCTGTCTCTCACACAAGCCCCTGGCTCCAAACCTTGGGTCATATTATTTGATTCCCACTTTCGGTTGGTCCGGAAGTCTCACTCTAGTTTGTTCTAAATTGATGTACTACTATACTAAAGATGAAATCATGTGTCAGTGAGGAATTTGCTAAACTCTTTGTGGCAGGTTCTATAGTAGACACATAGCAGGAGCTTGCCCAACTGCAAGTGTTAGCCCTTTAGGGGCATATGAGTACGGTGAAGATTTACTTCATCTTCTTCAGAGCTGGTCTGTCTGACTGAGCATGGGAGCTCATTTAAAAGAGCATTAGTGGTCTTATAACATGGATTTCACGTGGCTTGCAACTTACAACCCTAGTTCTTTCTTAGTACAAAGAGCTGTTGTTAGTGAGAATTGTGCAGGATGTACTAGGCCCTAACATAGTACTATGGTTAAGAATATGAAGTTCAGTACCAGACAGTCCTGGATTTAAATACCAGCTTCAAAATGCAGTACCCACGATACCTCATAGAAGCCATTTAACCTCCTGGTCTTCAATTTCCCTACCTCTAAAATGAAAATAAAGACTCACTCTGGCTCAGACTTGTAAACATGGCATGCTGTGTATAAAACACCAGTATCACTTAGGACACAAGCTGAACATTCAGTAGGTTAACCATGTTTTCCTCTATCAAGAGGTAGAAATGAAAATATAAGCTTAAATGTAAATCTAAATCTAAATATCAGAGATGATCCTGACATGGATGTTGGGAAATTTTAGAATGAATTAGGGAAAGAAGTCTACAGAATAGTTTTTCTTGGAAATCTCTAGTAATAATGTTGTGCTTCCATTTCCAAGTCAGCTTAGGTTGCCCTTCCAATGAGATGGGGACTAAGCAACTAATGGCAACATCTTCCAAATCTGGAAGATACGTTCCACAAGTACCCAAAGAAACACTATATTTTCTTAAAAAGCAGGGCGTGTTTCTTTGTTTCTATTCTTAAATGTGGCACATCGAAGCACATGCACTCCACTTAAACCTGTGTCCAGAGGGATGATGTTAATGGGATTGAATGGGAAGAACAGCCTGCAGGACAATCGAATCTGCACATTCCCTTCACATCATTTGCCATGGACCACATTTGTCTGCTGCTTCTTGTGTCTTTTTTTGTGGTCAAAATAAAGAACTGGGGACACATGGATATAGGTTTTTTTCTTGTAACTACCCAGATGGAAAAGTACAGCCATGATGGCCTTCCTACAAGGCTACAAAATATTCCCTGCAACCACCTGAGCCACTGGAATGATAACAAAAATATTTCTCGGAGTCCAGAGTAACTCTTGCTTAACAATTTTGAGTGTCTGTCTCATTTTAATCAAGAGATTTGGTTCAACAATATGTTAGGTATATACCTGAAAAGTTCAGCCAGGCCACATTGTATTAACTTATGCAAAATGGATGTTTTAATAGGTGAGAAAACACCCAAAATTATAGGGATCAAAATATTTTATGGAAATCTAGAAAATGTAGAGAATACCTTTAAAATAAAAGTATTCCACAGAGGTTTGAAAGGTGATTAACAGACTAATCAATGATGTGTGTATTATCTACATAGAACTAGACAAGGTTGGGCTGGAGGAATGTGAACAGTACAGTGAAAATGTGATATGAACTTTATGTCCAATCAGAGATATGATAACACATAGATTATAATGACAGGCACAATTATAGAGTTCATATTATATAGGTGTAGGGATTTCAGATACTGGCCTCTTTTTTGAAAATGTATGTTTTATTCCATAGTATTATTCTAAAGTGACTACTGCTTTTTTCATCCCAGCTTCCCCTGAGCCTCAGTTTAGAATTCTGGACCAGAAACTTCCGTGCCCCTGCTTGTCTGGATCACCTTGTCAAGATAATCATGTTTATCTGAAGTCCTAAACCTTTCTATGCTCAGGACTACTTAGTTGTCTTCATTATATCTGGAAGATATCCTTGTGATTGTTTTAACGAAGGGTTTTGACTACTCCGTTCTGTCCATCAGTGTTTTTACATCTTCAAATTGTTTCTAAGCACTGACCTACTGGCTTCTTTCATGTCAAGAGATTGCCAATTCCAACTCGCATTATCTAGCCACTGCTATATATTTGGCTTTTTCTTCAACTTCTGATCCCCTGCCCATCCATAGCATCTTCCAGCACTAAATTTTTTCATATCGTCCTGAGTTGAGGAGATTGGTGATCTTAAGTATGACAGAGGAAAGCAAATTAAATTATAGGGCCAGAAAATGTACCTATAAAAATTACCCTCGAATCTCATATGCCATAACTTCTCCAACTTAAGCTTCCATCAGCATCATAGGGACACTCTTTGAATATTACTGGCACATATGAGTTAAAGTCATTTCCAAATAACATGTAATCAAAACAAAGGTCATCTCACTTTGCTCTGTGCCAGGGAGTTCTTAACCTGAAAGTCATCAGAGACCCTCCGATAGGATTTTAAGTACCCATGGTAATCACAAACTATGTTTTATATTATGTTAGTTTGTGTGTGATTACATCTGGATGCTTGAAAGGGCCCATTGTTCTCAGAAGAGTCTTAAAGTTTCATTTACCCAAACATGGCTTAAGGACACCACTGATGTCATGCAGAGGAAGGCAAGCAAATGCATTCGAGAAGACACTGAAATTGGAATGTAGCAGAAAAAGGGCTTTACAGTTTATAAAGCCAACATAAAATTCTGCTGTTTTTATGGTAAGCAGAATAATTCTACTCTTACTACATTGACCTTCATCATCAATTACTCCATTCTTTTATGGTTGTCCACTGACTCCTACTGAGATGTGGACTGACCCACCAATCAGGCAAAAAGTTTAGGTGGAGCGCCCATCACAGGCCTGGCATGGTGTCGGCTCGATGGCGGACCCAAAGATGGCAGTCTCTCTGTCTATACGTAACTCTGGATGAGAACAGTGACATCTACTCTTTTTAGCCTCAAGAGGGTAAGAATCTTGATTTTGTGCCTCAACCTTTGACTCAGGTGCTTAGAAGAACATCTGGTAAATCATAAGAGCACAACCAAAGATTATTAAATGAGTGAACTGAAGGCCTCAGGGCCTTCAGGGGTCTGTGCTATAAATGCCATAATGATATTGACAGATAAACAAAAGTCCACAGTGGACATTTTGTTTGACAAAACTCTTACACCTGAATGATAAAACTCTTATACCTAGAGAGTACTGTTGAATAAAGGAGATAAGGGACCCAACTAATAATGCATACCAATAAACTGCAAACTAGCCTCAATAGGGAAAAGAAACTGAAGTTAAACACGACACACTTCAAAACCTTTCTTCACACCAAATGTTTGACATAGGGGCAAACTCAGTTAAGAGGCTATTGGCAGGAAAGATCACTCTCCTCCTCATCCTTTTTCTTGTCAAAGGATTTAGGAAACAAAAAGCATGCTGTCCAGCAACATATATTCATCATACTCCCTTCAACAACCGTTAAGCAGACTATCCTTTACCTAGATGTCAGGCGATGAACCATCTGTCCAGCTTCACTAAACCTCAAGGGGCAGTTTAAGCAAACAAGGGGCCAAAACCCTGTTGGCCTCCAGATGCATTTAAATGAGGACAACATATTAAGAGGAAGCAGGTGATAAGGCTTCCCAAGGAGCCCCTAGTTCCTGAGTGCATTAAATTATCCTTCAGTTCAGGAAAAAGAGCCTTTTGATCTCAAAAACCCTAAGAAAATAATTTTGTGTGCAGATGCTTGACTACATCAGATAAACAGAAATATTAGTGATTTCCTATATTGAGTCCATCCAGTTACTCAAACTGGGGTTCCTCCTATTCCATGATCCCCATGGAAGCACCCGGGGTTGAGCATACAAATGGTGCAGTGACTCTTTTGGAAGTCACATCTGTCCCTGAAACTTCAGTCGCCTGGAGACCGCATGCTTCATTCCCTGCCGCAGCTCAGTCCTGCCAGTGTAGGATGAGTTTAGAATCCTCACCTGAGCAACAAATTTGAATTGAGTGTTGAAAGAGCAAAATACATTCAGTGCTGAAACAATGATCATTCGCACTTTTTGTTTCCTGTGGACTTTTTCCTTTTCTTTTGCTATTATAATAATCTTGCTTTAGTTTGGATTATTATGGGAAGAAGATCACAGGACTCTCAGCGAATTAGCATAGCAGTTAGCTGCACATCCCCATTTCCACACAGAAAAAAATTTTAGTATCTTTCACCATGCAACCACACAGGCATACAATGCCTGGAATCCCAACTCCATTCACACTCACTGCTCTCAGACACAGACACTCACTGGGCCCTGAGACACCAACTCCCTGCATGTCAGAATCAAGCCAGGCTGAAGATGCAGATAGGTGGGCATGGCACCAGGTGGATGTGTAATCAGTAATAAGAAATACATCGAGCCCCCATAATGAAAAGAAATCCCCCAAATTGTTCAGGACTCCCCCACCCCCTTCCATTCACTGATTTATTAACCCTGAACAAAGATGTAATTGCAGGGTCTCAGAAAAAAAAACTTTTTTTTTCCTTTTTTTCATTTTTGGCTTTTTTTTTGGTTTGGCTTTCAATTTCTTAATATCTAGTTGTACCATTCATTGCCTGTTTTCTTCACTCAGTTGCCCATCTTTTCCCCCCAAAATGAAAGAAGCATCAGCTTCTGAGTCTTAAGGATGAGACCTCTGCATTTTCTTTGCTTGTTTAGGGCAAGAAATGAAGTGCTGCCTCTTTAATTGGCAGAAGCATGCAGGAGGAGCATACCTTTAATTTAGTGTTGGGATACCTCACTTGCACCCTGGCTGTTGTCTTATTGGAGACGGCAGCCTGCCTGAGATCCTCTAGCACTGAAATAATATCATCCAGCACGCATTTCTTATCCTGATTTCTCAACACACACAGATGGGAAAAAGTATAATTATAGCCCTTGTGGTTCACCTTCATTTCCAGCACGGCTCGGTGGGTCTGCAGGATCCCCTCAGCCTGGAGCAAAATATTGTCCCCGGGTGGGGAGAGGAGGATCACCCTGCCATACCTCCCAGGGGTGTGTAAGTCCGAATAGAGCTGGCTTTTGGACTGGTCCAGGGGGAAAAGGCTGCTGGCCAGACTGCGCTCGATCTTGGCCAGGCTGTGGCTGGGAGCGACCAGGCGCTCCAGGTCTCCCTCGGGCTGGAAGCGGTTGAGCGCGCTGAGGCCGAAGGTGATGGTCAGGACTGCGGGCACGGTGAGGAAAAAGACCGGGTGCCGGCTCACGCACAAGCCCAGCCTGTGGCAGAACGACTGGAGCCCTCTGCGAAGCACCTGCCGCAGCAGCATCCTCCACCAGATCCAGCTTGCAGGCGCTCCCGGCCGTCTTAAAAAGCACATGTGACACGTGTAAGCGCCAGGCTATCCCCCTCTCCTTCATCCCACCCTCTGCCCGCCGGCCCCCGTTCCCACCGCCGCCGCCTCCCCACCCCCCCCCCACGCTCACCCCCGACCACTCCGCCTGGTCTTTCCCGGGCCCCACCTCCATGCGCTCCTACTACTCTTTCAAACACTGCAGCAAGTTGCAGTAAGGCGGGCAAATATCGACAGCGCGCGTGGGGGCACGCGGCGGGCGCTGCGGGGACGCCGCGGGGCTCGCCTCCTCCCCGGCCTCCCTGCGCCCTCGCCGCCTCCCGCGCCCCCTCTCACCGCAAAAGCAGCGATCCCACGGTCTAGCCCTTCATTTCGCTGCTGCAGTCCCCTGGCCTCCCGGGCTGGAGGTGGTTCCGTGCGGAGCGTCCCACAGATGTGGATTTCCTCTCAGTCCTGGTGGGGTTCGGGGCCGGACTGGAACCATGTGCCTCGGTGTTGTGAGAAGCAGACATGTGCCCCATAGGCGTGGGGGGGGGGCGGGGGCAGGAGTAGGAGGGGGCAGCTAAGCTTTTCTCTTTTTAAGATGCTGACAGTTATTTTTAGAGTTTTGTTTTCCCTCTTTCCTCCTCGCTGGAGTGAATGGAAGAGGAAATGGGTGAAGGTGCTGCTGGCCCATTGGAGCGGAGGCAATTAGAGCCCAAGAAAGGCGGGGTGGACGTGGAGGGAGGGAGCTCCTGGAGGCAGGCAGCCAGTTTTTCCCCTCCAGATACCCTGTGCCCTCGAATTGTGCTTTCCAGCTGAAAAAAAAAAAGGAACAGAGAGGATGATGCTGCATTTTCAACACGCTACAGAGCATGCGAGGGATTTCCTTGCAACACCTTCCACTCAGTGGTTTCACAGATTATCGGCTGCAGCGAGGGCCCCCAGAGACCCCATAGTACCCGCTGCGCGTTGGGCCCCAGGGACCCATCCCTTCCTCGCGCTGATGATTGGAGCGGAGGGACTTGCCAACCTCGGTCGCTTGTGGCTTGGGGGTGTGTGTGTGTTGAAGCTCTACAGGAAATATGTGGTTTCTCATAAAATATTGCATTCACATTCTGTACTTTGGAAGTTTAGGACAAAAAGTTCTTAAAAGCTGGTTTCAGCCCCCCCCCCATTTTTTCTTCCACTCTGAACCCCTGAATTCGGTTTCTCGCCATCTGATTGATTCGGAGGTGAAGAGGAGTGAAAGGCTAAGTAAATTTCTTCTGTGAGTAGAATTCCAGAAAGAAAAAAAGACAGTTGGGGACATTCATCACACAGATTTTGCCTAAATAAAGAGGGCTAGATGGGTAAGGGTAAGTCCATGGGAGTCCCTCGGTGTGTAAAAGAGTGAGCCTCCTTCACCATTTAGGAAAGAAAGTTCTCACCGGGTACAATTCCTCCCTCCTTACACAAAAGTGTGAAGGTGAGGAATTCTCACCTGCATCGGATCAACTTCAAAAACTGGACTATTAATAAGTGTGTGTGTGTGTGTGTGTGTGTGTGTGTGTGTGTGTGTGTGTCTGTGCCATTTCTCACCTATTAAAGCTTTCACCATTTCACATTCTGGAAAGAATAGGAAGAAATCTTTAGGACAAATTCTCAAGTTTGATGGTGATCTGCAGACTTCCTTTCCAAATTTTTGTTCTTTTTCATTGACTTAATAGAGAAGAATGAGCTTTAAGAAATGATTTGTCCACCTCTTCTTCATGACAGTGAAAAGACTTGTTCTTCATTATATACTTAGAGATGTACACATCCATGCATACAAACAAAAAAATCCTCTTAATAAATAGATGCTTTTTTACTTTTGCTAGTAGAATCTATTCTTCAGTTATCTGGAGAACAGTAGGACAGCAGAGAGCACAGAAATAAGGGCAATGCTTGTGGACAGCAATCTAAGGAAAAATTCTAGCCTTTTAAAATTGAAAGTGAACTTAGTGACCATCAGTTTGAATTCCTACGAAGGACGGGGATTGCTTCCAAATATGCTTGATGATTCTCCATCTAGCCCGTGCTGCAAAATCTCCACATTGTAAGAACCCACTCATTTTTCTAGGAAGCCCATGTTATTTTTAGACAGCCCCTTCCTGTTTATCTAAACTCAATCTCCATACAACACTCATGGGCTAGTCCTCCCTCTCCTTCAGTGGGAAGAGTCCCTTTTTGTCAAATGTTGATGCTGTTTCATTTAATGTATTCCATTAGCACAACATGCGGGGCCATTGTTTTTGGCTACACAGCAAAGAGGAAATCTATCTATCTCCCATTTTCTATGCCCTTTTATTACATTAAGTATTCTTAGTCATATCCTATACATTAACTTTTCTAAAAATGTGGTCTTTTTACAAAATATATACTAACAGATTTTAGGGATGGACTGTTGAATAATTACATAGTTCATTTTAGAGCTAAGGACACTAGGAACTGTAGAGCCTGAGTGAGATTAAAACCATGCTCAGAGTTACTGCAAAGCCGAGCCTGGTGTCCAGGGCTGTTTTTTCTAGTCCCATCACGTTTCCCCTGCAGCCTTGGACCAGGCCCACCCGGCTGTTCTTCACAATGAGCAAGTCAGTCAGAATCATCTCCTCTTGTACTGCCTCCACTCTCCACACCTCCCTCCCCAATAAATTCAATGGAATTAGAAGAATAAAAACACCACTAGGTAATTAACTCGGTAATATGGTACATCCATGAAATGAATTACTCTGATATAAATACAAATCATGGTGTAGGATGATAATGACATCAAAATATACCCACTACGTGTTAAGTGAAAAAACATGGACAGTATGAAACCACGTTGAAAAATAAAAATAGATGCTGGAAAAGATAAAGTCTGTATTAAAATGTTTCTTTTTATTGCTAGATTATGGGATCATGGGTGATTTTTTCTAAGGAAGAACCTTCTTAAATTCAGAAGTTTCAGATTACAGAAAGTTGCAAAGATAGTACTCAGATCCCACATCAAGCGTTGTTCCAGGATTCCATTCAGGATGCCACACTGCATTTGGGCATCAAGTTTTCTCAGGCTCCTATGGGCTGTGACAGTTCCTAGGACTTCCCTTGTTTGGGGTGACCTTGACAATTCTGAGAAGCAGTGGTCAGGTATTTTGAAGAATGTCCTTATTTGGGAATTATCTGTTATTTTTCTTATTGTTAGACTCATGTTGGGAGTTTTGGGGAGGAATAACACAGCGGTAATGTGCCATTTTTATTACATCGTATCAAGGGTACATTCTATTTACATGTTCATCACTATTGATATGAATCTTGACCACCTGCCTGAGTAGTGTGTGTCAGGTTTCTGCACTGTAAAGGTACTCTTCCTCCACACTGCTCTTCACACGGTTTCCTTTGGAAAGAAGTCACAGTGGGCAGCCTACACTAGAGGAGTGGGAGCTATGCTCCACCTCCTTCCTCTTTGAGGATGGAGTCCACGTCAGTTATTTGGAATTCTCCTACATGGGAGATTTGTTCTAGTCCATTCTACTCTAGTCCATTTTATTCTTTCAGTCCTCTATTTATATCACTTTTGACTTGAGGATATTTCTAAGTATTTTTATATATATTTTATTATACTTGGATACTTTCTTGCTCAAATTTTTTCAACTTTGGCTGTTGGGAGGACTTTCCCATTGGTTCCTGTATCATTTTAACGTATCCCATTATTGTTGGGAACTTTAAAAATATGTTCCTTGTTGGCAAATCATGGCCTTCTGTGCTGATACTTTGTAACCACAAGATGCCAGATGGTTCAAGGTAGCTATGGTGTTAGTTTAACATTGCTGAAATGATTTCCCAGTAATTAAGAGGTCATCTACATATTGAAGCAGAGAGTTCCTCCATCTAGTTTTAGGTCCTTTAAGTCCTGGCTCAGGGTCTCCCTCAAAATTGTGGAGGAGTTCTTGAAACCTTGTGGCAAGACTCTCCAGCAGTACTGAGTCTTGATCTGCGATTCTGAGTCCTGCCATTCAAAAGCAAACAAGAGTTGAGAGTCTTGATCAACCAGAATGCAAAAGAAGGCATCTTTTAAGGCCAATACTGAATACCAGCAACTGTCCCCAGGTATACTATTCACCAAAGTATAAGTTTCGGGACAGGGGGAGAATGTCCTGTGCATTGTCATTTATGACACTTAAATCTTGCACAAACCAATATTCATTTGAGTGAGGTTTTTTAATAGGCGATATGGGGGTATTGTATGGAGAGTGGCAGGTCTGAATAAGTCTATATTCTTGAAACTTCTGAATTATTGGGTGCATCCCTTTGAGGGCCTCCTTCTGCAAGGGATACTGCCTCTCGTTGAGAGACCTGCCCCTGGTTTGAGGTCAACTTTAAAAGGGGAGGGTCACTTAGCCCTCCCTGGCCTTCCAGAGGTTCACACAGGGGGGTTTACCTGGTTGTCAATTTCTTCTGGCCAAGGGCATGTTTCCTCCTGCCCCCCACATGAAATCATGAGAAATTGCCATGTATGCTCCAGAGGGACATGTAGGTGAAGTTGTTGTTCCTCTGGACAGAAAGTGGTCTGGGCATAGTTTTAACAGCAAGTCCCTTCCCTGAAGAGGTATAGGACACTCAGGAGTATACAAGAAACTGTGAGTTAAAACCATATCCTCCATGGGTATTCCAATGGTTTCAAGAAATATTGGCTTTCAGGGCTTCCAGAAATTCTAATTAAAGTTATAGCCTGTTTTGAGGACTCAGTTACAGGTCTGTTGATCATGGAATATGTCATTCTAGTAACAGTCAAAAAGTCCACAGTTTTGCACCCCCCTGCCACTGTTAGTCTTACCTAAGGTTCCTGGGGTGGTGACTTTAATAGATCATTCATTGTAGGGAGAGAACCTCTGGGCACTGTTACTCATCATTGAAATAACTTCTTTTTCTGAGCATGACTCTCAAGTTGTCTAATAGTCAATAGCTTAGTAAAAGCTATTGTTCCAGGAACTGAAGGTATGACACACCTTGACTCCAGGAGACCATAAGCAGTTCCACCTTTGTGC